CCCAGATATCACTTTATCGGACCAGACTAAATGTAGGCTTTGCCAGGGCTAGAAATTTAGCTTTTCTGATCTTGTATTTGATGCCTGAGTAAAATATTTTTCGCTGTATTTATTGGGATGACCTTTCAAACTGCCTCTGTTTAGGATGATAATTGCTATACAGCCTTTCAGGATACTTCCCCTTCAAACGTAAATCAGCACTTCTCCAGAGAAACACCTGCCAAAGGTTTGTGTTCTGCACACAGAAAAATGAGGCTGCAAAAGCTGTGTGGCACTTTCTAGGATGTTTTGCTCCCAGTCTTGAAAAAAAAGGCAGATTTTAAATCAAAGACCAAATTACTATAAACAGTAGTTGCTCAAAGCATTTTTGATGCAATTGGGTATCTTCATAAAATGAACTCAATTGAAGTTAGGACAATCTATTTTGGGGATAAAAATAGCCTAATCTACCATTTAATTCTTGAGGATTAAAATGCTACTCGTGAAGATTTTTCTATATTAAAGCAGCGCATCTGAGTTTCATTAACTGCCAAATGCAACCTCTCTGCAAATGTACCTTTCGATATACAATAAAAAAAAATCTCAGTTAAAGAGAATGAGTTACTGTTCCCAAAGCTAAAAAAAAGAAAAAGAAATAATAAATTGAAGATATTCAGCTAATAGTTGTTTATATATGCACATCAAAATACCTACAATTCCAGGCAATGATAATGTGTGAATAAACATTTATTTGATCACAAGACACAAGCAGTGTTCATAGGTGTTAAAAATAAACCTTATTGTACATTTATTTCAATCAGGGATTCTAATTTGCTGATAGCAACTGTGATTAAAAATAGTGCTTCAAAGCAATTTATTTAACATGTGCTACCCTATTAGAAGGCTGCATGTCCCTCTCCAAGGACAGTTAGTAGCAGCATAATTTTCTACAACAAAATGTGCTGTGGATTGCGATGTTCAACAGACACATGGAAAAGTAAAATCTCTAATACAGAGTGAAGAACTCGGCTGAGAGATTACAGAAGACATTTACTGACATATAAGAACATAAAAATGAAAAGAGCCTGATGAGAGGTTCAAGGGAGTCAAGTGCCAGACTCTGTTTTACTGACCATCACAAGCAATCAGGACTTCAGTACATTTTGCTACTTTAGCACTGCTGTTGCAGGCAAAATCAGCAACCTTTAGAAGATATTCATTACTAGAAAAGCTGCATAAGCCACTAAGGTAAGTGTCCAACTAGAAGACTTTTGGTTCTGTTTTTAAATAATTCACTGGATTTTTAATCATTTATGATCTGTAACAGGATCAAAAATTCAATATGGAGGTGGCCTGGCTTCTACATGCAGAACAGACTATACAATTTCCTCTCCATAAAGTGCTCAATCACTGGCTCATCAGGCCTAGGGCAAAGCTCAGTCCAGATACTGATAGCTGCTACACTAGAACAGAACTGAAAATAAGAAGCTTCCTATCATGAGCCTGTTCTGCTGTTTGTCACTGAATTAGATTTGACATATCAAGAGAGGGAAAAGAACAAACAACGAACAAAACAAAACACAGAATTTTATGAAGTAGAATTTGGCTACAATTAAAAAAGAGAGATGGTAAATCATGAGATATAATTTAGTTTCCTAAATAGTTTAACACATACTAACATGTTCCATGCAATTTTGCTGTATTTGACAGATGACCAGAAGCAACTTAAGGATGCTATGTGCCTATACAATGTCTTCTCCAGCAAAGCAGCAGACCCTGGATACTAAAAAAGTAAATAAGAGCCATGCCTAATTTCCGTGGAGGATTAAAGTTATTCTGTTTTCCTAAAGATGCAATAATAATTCTAAACACAATTGTAATCAAAGTGTAATGCTACTGAACGTACCTTAAAAGGCAGATCAACACTTGTATGATACATAAGTCATTTTTCTTAACAAAAAAAAATAAAAAATCAGTTTAAAGGAGATTTTAAATGATTTGTCTAAGATAAGGAAATCCAAAGCCAATTCATTGCACTGCCAGGTTCAAGCTGCACCAACAGGAATAAAACTATTCTTGGTTTGACTTATTGGTTCCAATAATCATCTTCCTCCATTACATGCTTGCATGTGATTTTTTTTTCTTCATTACTTTAACTAAACTGGGATCTGAAATTAAAAGACAGTTTATAAACAGAAACTATTTCTCATTATCACAAGATTCCATAAATGTCAGTGAAAGGCAAACAGAAAAGCAGACATCTTTATCTTGTCTGCTCTAAAACAGATCTCTGTAAAAGGTCTACAATTGAAAACTGTATATAATACCCTTGTACTCCAGGCAAAGAAACAGAAGTCAGCACACCTAAGGCTTTGTATTTTCTATCAGTAAGTCCACGATTACGATAGTGTATTATGTAATGCTATAAATTATTAACTTGATTTTGAGTATTCAAAACAAAATTGCCAGCTGGGCACCTATCCACTCCTCCAAATTATGCCAAAGAAGAAGAGAGGTTTAAGCACCTGTCAGAAAGGCAACATAAACTGGGCAGGCATGAACTGAAAAACATAAAAATACACTACATATTGAGTTTTTACATCATTTGGTTCCCCACCCATACTTCCTACTTGAAAAATCAATCAAGGCCTTTAGTTTTGAAGGCAGGCAAGTGGCCAGTGCAATGAAAGATTCATGTCACATGCTCATTCCTAAATATAGACAGACAGGCTCCAACGGTAATTCCCAGAATCCAAAAAATTCAATATAAGATGGATTCACACACCACAGTGCAGTTCTGTGGAAGTACCTGACTTTATTCCAAATTAGCTTTCTCAGGTAGAGAAGCAAACCCTGGCATGAGGCTGGCTGCATTAATGAGGCTGCTCACCCAGGAGAGTTCAGCTAAACAGGCACATGTAAAAGGACATTTGTCCTGCTTCACCTTAGAGAATTCAGCCTTGATTAGACAGCTTTAGGACAAGAAAAACCTTGCACATTAAATAAGTGTTCCTTTAGCAACCTTTCCCCCCTTCTCAAAGGCGAGTTTAATCCAATACCCATTTCATTAACAAAATTAAAAGCAATGCTCCTCTGCCCAGGTACACATGTTGCCAGTGTAGGGTTAAAAATCCATCAGATAAATAGGTTTTGTGATAATCTAACTATAGAAAACATGATTTGCTTATATTTAAAAAGTCTTCAAAAGCTGTTTGAAAATAACACAGCAATTTTGCAATAATTACTTCATTACAGAGTTAGACTGGGCAGTTAAACGTGCCTGATACTGACCAAAGCTGTTTCTAACCTGTGAATTTTACAATTTAGATTTCATAATTAGAAGTACTAACCCCTTTCATTATACTTGAAGTTCAACTGCCAAGTCTGATTAGCATTCTAATGCCTCCTTCCACTTCCATGTAATATAAAATTTGTTGATTCTTTTCTCCTGTACAAGTTTGGATCAGAAATAGAGAGAAGTTACTGCTCAACAACTGCAAACTTTTTCAGAACAAGGACATAACAAGGATGCCAAACTTAACTATTTAATTTTAAAGCAGCTATTCAATTATAAACTGTATTCTAATTCCCATTTTTGTGGTTCTGTTTTTTTTTTTTTCCTGAAACAGAAATTAATCCCATTCTAGAAGCCTTTTTCTGGACAAATATTAAGTGTTATTGAAAAGCGTAAATAAAACTTATGCATAAGCCTTTATGCATATCAGAACACTACAATCAAGATTTCAACCCCAAACGACTGGTTTCTCAGGGATAGTTCACAAGTTTCAGAGCATCCATACACTGAAGCTTCCAGCAGGATGCCCTGAACACTAAAGTTACTTCAGAAAACAGTTCAAATTATTTTAAATGCATTATCAAAGGCTTCAGGAATTAGAGGACCTGCATCTTCCCAAAGCCTTCTCTGTTATTCAGGTTTTAGCTCACCTACTCAATTTGCACAGCAAACATTTGATTTAGCTTTATAAAGTAAAACATCTAGGCTTGCAAACTTCATTTTAAAGTAGGAATTAAAGTGCTATTTCTAAGTAACAGGATTTTCCACAAGTTCTCCAACAGAGCACAGAGATCTCAGTCCACACCAGGATCTTTTCTTCCTAGCATATCAGCTATGGGATACCTTCCAAGGTGTATTCAGCACAACAAAAGCGAAGTTGTACTATTAGTTCTCAGTAACAGGATTTGTGGACTTACACCTCAATTATCTACAAGCATGGCTCCACGCTGCACAATTAAAGCAGAAGATGAAGCTGTTTAAGAAAGCTCACAGAGCAGCCCTATTGTACACTTGCATTGTGCTCGGTTAATGCTTAGCAGTACCTCGCTGTGTTATAGCCAATTTGACGGAAAACAGCTCCGGGAAATCCCAAAGCCACAGCTCTCTACTGCTTCGCTACTTTCAGACTGATGTTACTGGGATATCCCACTACATCAGTCACGACTGGTGACTGATAACAAGGTTTTGACTTATGACCGCCTCATGGAAGGCCTCTACCTCTTGCAGGAGCGTCACGCATGGACCACTCACTAGTGGCAGCTCCAGAAGTCCTCTCCTGGGAAAGGAACTGGGGGGTCCTGCTCGCTACCACAGGCCCCCGAGGCAGAGTTTGTGGCGGGCAGCACCCACCGTGGCATCCCGAGCCGGCCGCGCTGCCCACAGCGTGCGGGGCGCCGAGAGGCGACGTCCTAAGGCTGCTTCTCCCGCCTCCCTCCCGCTGCCCTGAGGGGTCCCGCTGCCCCGCTCAGCGCCCGCCTATCTAGCGCGTCCTCCTCGCTCCCAAACGCCGAGAGCAGGGAAGCGATCATAAGAACGGGTAAAGGAAACGACTGTGGAGGTGAAGACAAGAAAGCACCGCTTCCTGGCGGCCCCAGACTCACCTCAGGGACCTCTCCGACTCGCTTTACCAGGCGGCCATGAGGGGGACGCTGGTTTCACCGGCGACCGGTACCGGTACGGTTGTCTGGGCGAGCTGAAGCTCTGGTGGAGGGTCTTTGCCCCTGTGCCTGTGGTAGCTGCCCTGGTGGTGATGTGTGTGAGGAAATGGAGTCACTTCTGTGAAGGGCGGTGGGGTGCCCGGGAGGGGAAAGGCGCTCATTTCTTCAGATAAAGCAAAGTCAAAGTCGGACCGTAAACCGGCGTGTTTCTGCAATTATTAGTGCGAATTGGACAGGAGCTGTGCTCAGCTCCGATTACCACTGCTGAAGGAAGGGTCCAGCATGAAGTTCGTGATGGACAACTCCAATGGAGACCACACAAAACAGCTACTGGTATGAGGCAGTAATCTCTGAATCTGTTCTCCTTGAAGTAATGCTACCAGGTACAAAACCTGTTGCCTTTGTTGCCTGATTTTCCAGACAGCCAAGGGGAAATCTGAAAAGATATACGTCGTTTTAGATAGCTCCTTCTGAAAGGAGACAGCCCAGTCCAACTGTCAGGTTAGATGGATGAGTCAAAGGTATTCTCCCCATTTGAATCACAGAGTCACGGACTGGTTTGGGTTGGAAGGGACCTGAAAGCTCATCCAGTTCCAGCCCTGTGCTATGGGCAGGGACACCTTCCACTAGAGCAGATTGCTCCGAGCCCTGTCCAACCTGGTCTTGAACACTGCCAGGGATGGGGCAACCACAGCTTCTCCGGGCACCCTGTGCCAGCACCTCAGCACCACCCAGCTCGTGTCAGATGCAGCTTTAGTCTGAAGATCTTTCTTCTAACCACCAGCTATAGGCAGCCTATGCTCTTTATGGAAGTGTTTCATTCAAGCTGTATTTTTCTAACAGGCAAATGTCTATTAGTTGTGCATAAGGGCATGCAGGCTCCAACATACCTGTCATGCCACATGGTTTGAGGAAAATGCTGGCAAATAGTGCAGATACTAGTTTCTTACTAGCTGTTTGAATGAGACAAGCAGCAACCCAGGTTGGTGTTCATTCAGCCCCTACTCACAGGTTTAAATGTAGCACTGTGAGTACCGTCCTGATTTCTCTATTTTTTTCTTTTGGTTTAAGAAACACTAAAATGGTTTAAAGCCAAAGTTTCAGTGTGTAACATTACAGCTTCTATGTCTCTGATGAGTACCTTTTATTATCTGAGGGGGTTTGAAATGTTTTCCTCCTGTTTTATTATGTTATAAACATCTGTGAATATGGAGTAGACTTGCAAAGCTCAAATCATACAGTAAATATTGTGTTGGAATTAAGCTTTGTTTGAGGAGATCTGCTATGCTTGGAAGCAGGCCTTTTTTATATAAACCATGTGGTATCTAATATTCAATAAAATTCATTAAAGTCCTTAGCTTAATTGTAGTTCTGTTGTTTCAAACAAATGTTTTCCTAATTCAATTTCAGTTCAGAGCAAAAAGCTGTATCTCATGAATACTTGTGTTGATTTCTCTGAGCTTCTTTATGTGCTATGTAATGGGTAGCAGATTTACTTGTGGAATACAAGAGTTTTTCATTTTAGTGAGGACAACAGAAGAGCATCCAGCCACCTTTCTGTCCCACACCAATTTGTCATTAACCATCTATGTAAGATGGACCTGATCCTTTGACCACATCTAGGGTGACGATCAAACTACCAAGTAAGATTAACAGAAAGTTCCATTACATACCTAGGAAATTTCTGCATGCCTAATTTGCAGCCAAACTGTCTGGTTTTGCTTCCCTTCATCCCAAGCCCATCTAAGTGAACTAGCCAGTTTTGACTGAATGTCTCCTAAATCTTGAGGACCAAAAGTTCATACATGTGTTTTTCCACACATGCACACAACTCTGTGTCCCGTGTGGCCTGCTTTTGAATTGTTTGTAAAAGTGATAATAATCCTATAGGCATAACTTTTAGAGCTTTCACTCTAGAAGTATCTAAAGGGTGAGACAGAAGCATCGTGTTCTGTGGCCAGGACTAAAATGTGAATTGCATTAGTAATTTGGCAGTAGCAGTTCTATGATCTCTAATTGGATAACTAAAGCATGAAAGTACAATCAAATGTTCAATGTCTGCAGCAAGCAGGAAGAAGAACTTCAGTTTGAAAAGCTAGTAAAGGTTCAAAAGGGTAACAGGAATGATTAGTTCCCCTTGGATATTCTAAAAGTATGAGCTCTTTTCAAGGAGTTTTAAAGAAAAATAAGAAGGAAAGTAAAAAATCCTAAAGGAATTAATGTACCCCAACAACAGTATAATGCAGGAATGGCAGAAAGTTAATGTTGTACCTGTGTAGGAAAGATACAATTATATAGATGGAGAAAAATAGATAAGTAAATGTACAGTACTCATCAACAGAAATGAGCAAAGGGTGAATTGGTGATTGACTTACAGCTGCTCACCACTGCACTTTAAAATCCTTTATAGCAATTAATTTGGGCTTTAGCAGTGAGAAAGCAGTAGTTTTCATAGCAATAGCTCTATGGTTTGCTCAGCTAGCAGAAGAGAAAAACATTCACAGGCATTTCACTGAAATATATTTCATCTATATAATCAGTTGCCAATTAAATAATTTTATTAATACTTATTTGGTGATGTACTTTTCCAATCACATATTTTTATGCTTGATTCTATAAATGGGTGGCAATTACAGTATTTTATAAGTTGATGATAGAAGATGTTTCTATCAAGAATAGTTAGACTGCAGTGATCAGATCTTCAGGGCCTGTGTTAAGACATTTACATTGTTCATTTTGGGAGGAGCACAGTGGTTGCAAACTGCCGATATGAACCAGCCCTGAAAGCAGAGCAGAGAGTTCATGCCAATTCCACCCCCCAACCATCCAGCATCTTACTAGTAGATTTCTTTTTTTTTTTATTCCCAGTCTCTTCTCAAGCAAGATTTCTCAGTGACAGCTCTGCTCACCAGGAAGACAGCTGTCAGGGGCACAGCAAATATAGATTGGAATGATTATAACTTTTTAGAAATGCTCAGAAAGTGCTGAGCAGCCGCTGTCAGAAAAGTTAGTGCCTTGCAGATGTCTCGGAGCAAGAATCTTCAGATTGCATCCAAAATCCCCAAATACTTGTCAAAACTATGGCCATAGATACTTGGAGAATAAATTCCACATCAAAATTGAAAATGTCAGCATGAAAATGTCAGATGTGTAAGAAAAGTTCTCATATGATGTATATATACACACATGTATGTATTTGATAACAGATAATAGTTTATGATACATAGGTGCTTTATTCTTAAGTCATTAATTATTCTAAAGTTAAAGAGTCTTTATAACAAGTTTATTCAGAGAAGGAGACATTCTTACTCCATTGGATTACATACTCTTCATCCTTTCCTCTGGCATCAGGATTGTCTATAGTTACAATTTTCCTGGCAGATTGGAGCAATTCTGGTAGGTTTTATTTTTAGAATGGGTACTGTTTCTATAAACTAAATGGGTTTATAATACCATATTTAAGTGAGGTCTGTGTTATTAAAATTTAACATACTTGTCCAGCTGGGGGCAGAAGGGGAATGAAGTAGAGAACTTTTACCCATACAGAGTGGCCGTGTGATGCCTCAGATACTGTGCGTGAAACTCAGATTTCCTGAAGTGTTGTCTGTAAAGGGCTGGCTATGCAGATAAGTTCCAGTTGATCACATCACAGTTTTCCTACTCCAGATCAGTGACCTATAAGTCGAAGTTCCAAATCCATTCCACTGAGCAGCTGATGTACCTCAGCATCTTCTGTATATCTTCACTTGAGGCGTTCTCTTCCCTCTGCTATATAATAGGAAATTAATGTCAAAATTTATGATTACCATAACAGCCAAAAATAGAATCTAATTATTCTCGTCCATTTTCAGTCTCAGCTAGATTATTTTTTGAGACTCAATTAAAATCCTCTGGAAAAGAATGAATGTGCTCCAGTTTTGTTGCAAACAATATTTATTCTGCCAAGTACTGATAACAAACAATGCACATTATGTTTCATGCAATTCATTTTTATTTCTTTTTCCTTAGTTTCTAAGGCTTTTGCAATCACACTGGTCAGTCCCTGATATCTTGAGAGCCAAAAGTCTAACTTCAGCCACACACAGACACAAATAGAAGTCTCACAGGTAAAATGGTTCTGGCGGTTGGGTGAAAACCTATAAAAAGCTGGGCAAAACTGATGTGAGTTGGTGACCTCACAGAGAGAAAAAAGTATCACATGAATTCATTCTTTATGTTGCTAGGCCTGGTCTGCTCAGGCATGCTGTGTATACAAGCTACAGATACACCACCAAGACAGGCCTGATGGGTACTTCCTTCTTCCCGGATGATAATGAGGGAATGTGGGAGGGCTGCTAAAAGTATTAGGGAATGAATGAAGTCATGATAAAAAAAGAGAGGAACTGGGATTATGACAGCGGAGGCACAGCTGTGTAGGATGCAAATCCATGGGAAATCAGGTTTCACCAGTTCCACTGATCAATGAAAGAAAATATTTATGTTTTCCTGTCAATACCTTTTGGAGAAAGGCATGTCACAGCCATTAAAATAAACGTCTCTAAAAGGACTGTGGGTGACAGCCTCCACTGAGAAAAAAAAACCCAACTTAATTTCCTATCACAGTGGGCCAGATTCTCAGCTTGTGTGAACTGCCAGGATTAAGCTGAAATGAATTGAGTTGTGCTGTCTTGGTGCCAATTGGCCTGTTTTAGGTTGTTAAAAATACTTTCAAGCAAATACAGATAAACAAAAAAATTAGCCAGGAATATGTTTAGAGAAAATGGATATAAAATTACAGTATGAAAAGCTGTTATGTTGTAATAGGTAATGGTAGGAAGGTAAAATATTCACTATTTTCAGATCTACTATCAAAACTAAGTAGGAAATTCATCCTTTTTCATTTCAAAACATTTCTCAGTGTTCTTTATTCTGTTACAAGAAGTAGTATTGTCAAGAAGACCTAGGCTGGGATAAAAGCCTGAAGCATGATTACAAGGGAAGATGGTGATTGTGAGGAGGACTCAGTGGCATGGTGAAACACTGTGGGAATGCTTCAAAATCAAGGACATGCAGTCATGTCTCTCTCAGGCCTCTCTAAAAGCAAACAAGATTATAAATAATAAGAATAACGGGTTCCTGGCCAGTCACTATCAGGAATTCAAGGGTACACACCTATGTTTGCAAAAGAAAAGTGTGTAGGAGCGTGTGAGAGAGAGTGTGATTATTGTGCTGACTTGATCTGTTCCCAGACCACTGGGGCAGAACTGATGACTTTTTGTTCCTGAACACTGGGGCAATGCTTGCATGTTCTTGAGGAGGTGAGATTGCAGAGTACGTGAATATCCTGTTTGGCTGCATAGTCAAGATCCTTGTCTGTAACTATAAAAGGGACAAGAAAAAAGGAATAAATGACTTAGTCAGATCACATACTGAGTCTGTGTCTTTCAATCTGCCACAAAACACAGACTGACTTTAGGAGACCAGAGCCTGGAAACCACTCTTGGTTGAAATGCACATGGTCATTTTGCTGGCTTTCACTGGGATAGAGTTAATTATCTTCATAGTAGCTAGAATGGAGCTGTATTTTGGATTTGTACTGGAAACAGTGTTGATAACACAGGGATGTTTTCCTTACTTCTAAGCAGTGCTTACACAGAGTAAAGGTCTTTTCTGCTCCTCACCCCACAGCACCAGCAAGCAGGCTGGGGATGCACAAGGAGTTCAGAGGGGACACAGCCAGGACAGCTGACCCAACTGACCCAAGGGATATATTCCAGACCATATGGCATCATGATCAGCATATAAACTGGGGGAAGAAGAAGGGAGAGGGGGACATTTGGAGTGGCATTTGTCTTCCCAAGTAGCCATTAGACATGACAGAGCCCTGCTTCCCTGAACATGGCTGCTGAGGGGAACTGCTGAATGAATTCCTTGTTTTGCTTTGCTTGTGTGTGCAGACTTTGCTTTACCTATTAAATTGTCTTTATCTCCACCCAGGAGTTATCTCCCTTTTACTCTTCAGTTCTCTCCCTCATCTTCTTGTGAGGCGAGTGGAAGAATGGCTGTCTAGGGCTTAGTTGCTGTCTGGGGTTAAACCATGATAGTTATCAATGCTTACTACAGCATCTCCTCTTGTGTACTGAGGACAGGCTCTAAGGCCCAGGAATCCCACCACACCCCTGCTGTTAGTTGATCTTTGTGGTAAGTACTGCCTAACTGGAACTGCTGGGGTTAGAGGTACCTAACAAATGAATGCTCTATGTGTGTCCCAGTAGAGCATTTTTATCTCTTCAGATTTTGGTTTTGAAACTTAATTTCCTTGTGGACTTTTGCCTTAGTGCTTGTTGAAACTTAGCTGAGTTCTTCCAGAAATATAACGTTAATTTGCTTTACACAGCAGCTTCTTGAGATGAGTAGGTAAGACACTTTTACCTCATTTGAACTGAGGCACAGAGTGCTTAAGGTTTGGGATGTCAAGTTTTCAATACAGAAAACTGGTTGGGGTTTTTTGTTTGTTTTTTGGAGTATTTGTCTAGAATGGCAATTGCTACTGCTTTATGAAACTGCCCCTTGCAGAAGCAAGTCACTGCCGGTACCTACGTGCTCACTTCCAGTATGTCCATGGTTTCCCACTCCAGTCTTTCTCATAGATCTAAAGTACATCTTTTCTTAATCCCTCTGAAGGTGGTATGTGTGGAGAAGAGTGGATGTTGTTGCTTTTTTCCTGGAAAAATCCCTTCCTTTCTCTTTTTCATTCATTTAGTTATGCCAATATGCCAAGTTCATAAATAGAAAACTGTGATAAAGGTGTTCCTTTATCTAGTCTCTGTTGAATTCAGCAGCCTGGGAAGAGGTCATGCCCTGATATGACATCTGTGACTGTCAAATTTGGAACTAGCTTCAGATTTGCTCTCAGGTATGCCAGCTGGTCCTGCGTGCTTACAACCTGGTTCTATGTGCCCTATGGCCTTCATTAAGGATTCACATGAGGTGTGAATTAAGTTTGCTTGAAGTGATCTAGAGCTTGCACAGCCATGTCCTGCCATGTCCATTTCAATCACCTGAACCTTATCTCTTCTCTCTGGGAACAGGTGGGATTCTCAACTTCATCTGACTGTTCCAAGCTAATTGTGAGTGAAGGAGTGAGCGTGTGTTGAAATAATATATCATTTGACTAAAAAAACCAAAACACACCGAAAATGTAAAGAGAATGTGGTGTTAAAATGCAGCTTTTCAAGATTGCTGAATTCCATAACCACTTTAAGAAATGCTATTCAGAAAATCATTGACAGGGTTGATTTCTGGCATCATCTTACCTTGAAGGAGTTCACTGAAGTAAGCAAGACTGTATACAAGTGAATGAACAAAATTTACCTCAGAGTCATTCATCAGCTCTGACTGCTACATAGAAAATACCTGTTGCTTGACCATGTTCTCGGTACAATTTTGACAGAAGAGCAGTTAGGTCATTTATATTGTGTCTAGCACATCTGAGCAAACTTTTAAAGTTGTAAGTAGAAAAAATAGCCCTTTCTAACCAATCCTTTTTCTACCATATAGGTAATTACCGAGATTAAACAAGTATCTCTAAATAGCTTATGTATTCCAATTGCTTCTATTTTCTGCTGGCTTTATGAATGTCCTTCTAAAGAAAGCATGAAAGAGATATTTGCTTTATTTTTCTGAAATAGCCTGCAGAAAAAATTACTTTCATTTTTGGGAATAACAGTAAGTTGTTGGTTTTGAGGAATAAAAAGAATACTCTGCAATACTTGAACTGGTTTCCACTTTAAAGTTTCTGAAGCAAGAGAGCTTGCATGAATTTTTAATCTCCTAAATTTAAATCCTTAGAGTATTGAAGAAAACAAAGCAAACAAACAAAAAGTTCTAGTTGAGCTAAAATAATAACAGAGCTCCCTTCTCCCAGCAAAAACTCATTGATAAAAGGAATTGCAGTGCCTGATCCTCAAACTTAGTTTCCAACTCCTGCAGCAATAACAGCAGCTGGGTTTTTTTAATCCTCGATATCGTAGTGTTGGAGATGCTCTTCCCATAATCTATAACTGTAAATAGGAACAAATCATGATCCAGTTGAAAGGCATTTGTCTTTTTTTTAGCAGTCCGATTTCATTCACAAGTTCTTGCAGTGAAAACATGAACAGCACTAGGCCCAGGCCTTAGGTGTGCTAGTTTCTGGTTGTTGCTGAGTTTTCCAAGAGGAAATTGTTCATTTTCTTCATGGCCTTTCATTCATGAACCACAAAAAAAGATACAATAATAATACACAATATTGGTAGGACTCATCCATAAGTTGTGAGTACCATATTTCATGCCCTTTATCCGACATAGCTGGACAGATTTTACAAATACAGACTCTGCAGGAATCTTTTCCCAACTACTTGCCTTCCAGTCATTCCTAGGGTGCCTTGCCATGGTTATTTATATATTGTAAATGGGTTAGAGAGTAAAAGGTAGTTGCATGCTCTTGAAGTATCAGGATCTTTTGTTGCCATGTTTAGAAGTTATTATGGTGGTTTTGCATGGAGAACAGAAAAAGATGAACAACTCATTGCTTCAGTTCCAGAGTAGTGTGTACAGCCGGCTGATATATGGGGAGGAAAGCAAATAGGTGTAACAACTGGAAGCACCATTCCTTGTTTGCCACAGGAATGGATTTTCAATGAAGTATTTAATTTCATTTTTTTTTATTTATATATAGACTTTATATATAATGGTTTTAATCTTTGGAAGAACAGAGCCAAGTAATTGAAAATACCTACTTTTATCTCAAAGGACTCCTAGAAGTAGTATATCATGTTGTAACTATTGCAATATCATATACTTTTCTTACTTTTAATTTATGGAAGGATAACCGGGTTACTGTAATAGCAGTCATCTATTTCCTCCCACTAAAATGGTTTTATTGTTCAGATAATTTGATAGAATTAGCTGACAAAAATGCTGTCTAACTGAGAAATCTTTTACTGTCTGCTGTGTTTTTACTACAGGCATGTCACCTACTTACATTCCCATCCCACTTTGCTGAGGGAGAAAACCAAACAGCTCAGAAGACTCCAGTAAGAAATGAAAATTTCAGCTGAATGCTTACAGTTTAGTTGATGTGATAGTCAGTTTTCTACATGGTGATGAGTCTGGTGAAGAAAGAAATCAAGGCCAGTAACTGATGTCGCCCAGGCTCCTGTGTTGTGACTTCAAATTCATAATGATGAACAGCTGAAATGGTGTACTGTTACATAGCTTTTCCCCTAATGTAAGAAGTACCCTTAGGGTTCAAGCTGATGCAGCGTAGTGAAGGATGTGCTAACAGATACTGTATTGTAGAATTTTATGTTTATAAAATAAATTGCTATAGACCTATTGTTATATCTACTGAAGTGAATGGTTCATTTGAATACAGATGCTCAGCGGCACATGATTCCTCATTTGTAACACACTAACTGACAGTTCAATGTTACGTGAAGTGTTCCAGCACTGCAGAAGATTCCCTTATTCTGATGACTTCATTCTCTGGAGAGAACTCAAGTAAGCTGTGTCAGAGGAACATAAAGGGTGAAAGGAATGGTAGTATCATTCTTTTATCACCCAGTCCTAATAACCCTGCAAAAGCTTCTCTTTACCTCCACCAGCAGGTTTCGGGCTAGTATCTGCAAGGGGCACCTTGCAAGGGAGTCTGCAAGGCCATTCTCCATGGCACTTCCTCCACTCTTCAGGGCCTGCCATTTGATGGAAGTAAGGGAGGTTCAGGGAGGGACAGGCAGGAGTCTGTCCACAAGCTTTAAGGTACATTCAGAACAGGGAGACAAAAAGCAAGAAGGATCCACTGGTCTTCTAATATTTGCGTTTTACAGAATTAATCCCTTGTGTTTTACCCACAAGGAAGAAGCCTGAGATTTCAGAAATGATTAGGGTATAATACTAGCCCTCTCCCTCCTCTCCTTAATTTTGCCTGCTGACCCAATTCTGTGCTTCCTTTAACAAGACAGTATCTCACTAGAATAACAATATGGTTCAGCTCATACACAACATCCCTTGCCATTGCTAAGATTCAGACTATAATTGAGTTATATATATAGCTATTAATTTCAGGATCCCTAGGGATATGCTGAGACACTGATGCCTATCTCCTACATTATTTTACAATGTATCTTACAAAGATTGTAGGAACATTTTTATACATTTTCCAGTTCTGATTAATAAATCTATCTGCAGGAAATAAAGCTCATATCAGAGCATTTTGTTGCAAATTTACCTTTCCTGTTAAACTTGTTGGCTGGTTGAAAAGTATAGTTTGTATAAACTAATCTTGCCATGAATTCTTGTCCTGGGTTCAGCAGTAGCAGTCATTTTTCTCCTTTGTGTCAGTTTGGGCTCCTACCTGAACTGGGCCAGTAACTACTACCAGGTGAAGCTGATGACTCGGAGTCGGAGCAGGACCTGGAGGAAGCACATCACTTCTTGATGGAGAAGCTGTTTTGCCCCCCCGCCCCAGCCTGACCAAGCACCGACCGATACCTCCTCCAACCCTGCAGTCCTAGCCCTTCTGGATAACTCTCTGTTACCTCCTGGGCATGACGTGCTGTGGTATGGAATACTTCTTTGGTCAGTTTGGGTCAGGTGTCCTGTCTCTGCTTCCTCCCGGCTTCCCCTCCTCCCTGGCAGAGCATGAGGCTCACAAAGTCCTTGGCCAAACCAAAACATCATTGTTATCAGCTCTGTTCCCAGGCCAAAAGTCAAAACACAGCACTGCACCAGCTACCGCGAAGGAGAAAAATGACTGCTACTGCTGAACCCAGGACAATTCTCCATAAGCAGGGACTCAAGACTCCAACTCTGTCCTTGCCCTACAAAGTGCTTAGGGGCAAAACACTTCATCTGTTCTCCTGTTCGCATATTTGAAATGGGATCAATAATTGTTGCGTCCCCTATAAAGAACATTGACTTCTACCTATGCAAAGCACTTGTACTGGAGCAAGACGTTCTGGTAACATTGCAAACTGCCCATCCTTCCACCTACTATCTTCGCCTGTTGTGGCACACATAGTATCGGTAATCCAAGCTCTAAAAATGCGTTCATCTGTTCTGCTTCTCTTCCTGCTTCTTCCAAACCATAAGGCTGGCTTTGCTATCCTAAGATTTAAGCAATAATAACAAGAATTAGATCCTTCTGATGCTTGAGGCTTATGGTTACGCTTGTGTCTTTTATTCAGGGCAATCAGAGACTTAAATTCTTATGTGAAACTCTGTTTCTAAAATCCATCAGTCAGGGCTTTGGCACACATACAGAATTCCATAAATTGTCTAAAATCACAGCAGTTGGTGCACAGCCTGCTTTTTATCACTGTAATTTTACATTACCTGATTTCTAGTATCACACTCACATAAAATTGTAGCTCTTGTAGGTCCAACTTGAACTCTGATATTCTGAACTGCTGTGTTCCTTTTGCAAACTGAATTCAGTTCGCCTCAAGAGGACAAGGGAGTGAGAGCGCAGCTGGATGAGCATCTGTCAGCCAGCCATGGGCAGCAGCCACACAACTGAAGGAATTCTGCTGCTTAGAATTTGGTCCTGAACATTGATCTTGATGCCTAGAAGAATCAGGTGTTAATTGTGGCAGCTCAAACAGGCCTAATATAACAAAACACCCCACTTTTCCACAAACGGCATGTATTCTTAAACTAAGCAAAGTGCAAACTGCAGAAAACATACTTTGTAACACAAAATTACCCCCTGCAATGCATGCTGCTTCACTTTGCCCCCAATGTAATACTTTAATAAAAGTACCTTTTGAAATAGAATGCTAATGAAATCGTAATCACATCTATAAATGTCCTGAGTATACACTAACCTTAAAGTAGGCAAAGAGAAAAATGTTACATGTGTGCTATTTGGAGACTAATCTGACCTGATAAATAATTCATATGAAACCAAAGAAGCTACTTGTTTAGTCAGTTTCTTTCTGTAGATGATCTGCAGTCCATTCCATTTATCTTCATACACTGTTGGCAAGTTTAGCTTGTTTCTCCGTATATGATTAAGAAGTGGGGTGAAAGAAGCATCTTGTTCCCTATTTTCCTTTTGCAATTGCCGTTCATTGTAAGTTCTCTTGCCAGGACAGTCAGTGGAAGTTCAGGTTTTTTAAACTCTTGGGCTTTGGCCTAAACATTGAACAATCTCAGTGATTTAGAGTATATTTGCATTTGTGCAGGGAAAAGTGGAGAAGTTCATATGGTGCTGAATTGTGTGTCCATGCCCAGGCACTACACGATAGTCAAGATACACTTTCACCTCGTCCACCAAGCTAATCATTTTGTACTAGAAAGCTGTCAAGTTGGTCAGGTGTGATTTCCTTTCCATGAATCCTTGCTGACTATTTCCAGTCACCTTCTTGTCCTTACTTGTAGAGATGGTTTTGAGGATTATTTGCTCCATCACTTTCCCAGGGATTGAGGTGAGGCTGATCAGCCTGTAGCTCCTAGTTCTTGGTTTTTCCAGACCACTTAATGCTTCTGCTAGTTCTGGAAACTTACCTGCAACAAAATAAGAATCTAGTCTACTGCTCAGTATCACAATCAAGACTTTGGTTCAAGCAAGGGTTTGTGTTTTCTTGGCCAAATGACATATCCATTATGTTTTAATAACAGCTTCCAGTTTTCATGTGTAATACAGTGAGTTAAATCCCTAAAAAAAAAAACAGCCTGCTCCCCACAGGTTTTGTAGTAGAACAGCTACCTGTAATGATTCACTGAGCTGAGATGCTTATGGAATATAATCTCAGTAACAGAGGTTCAATTTTTGCATCAGTGACAGTAAAAACATCTGCTACCAAAGCTGTAGAAATTGAAAAGAAGGGTTCAGAGGTCACCTTGAATTTATAGCCACAACTGATTTGAAGTACAAGTGAAAATCAGCTGATGCACATTTTACACTGCTCAAATCTCTCAGTGAGAGTCGATACAAATTCTGCCAGCAGCAGTAGGGCAGACAGTACTGTAATGCTTTTGTAAAGAGGTCAATGGTTTGATTGTAACAACCATATTGTAGATGAATAGCATTTGCTTCCCACCCGTCTTTCCCAACCATCACTGAGCATCAGATGAAACTTAATGCTAAAATGAACATACAGCACCACCTCTTGATGGGATTGCCTTCTGCAATGTGATCGTGGCAGATTTCCTCTCCTCCTTGCCCCCTTGATAAATGTAATTAGAAATCGGGACAAGTTACACAGTATTTTGCTATTATGAATCAGTAAAAGAACATTTTTTTTTGCCATCCCTGAAGGCTGCAGGATCAATCTTCCTGCACAAGTCCTGTGAAGTGTTGCCATTTACAACCCTCAGGTTAGATCTATCCACTCTGTTCAAAATGCCTGATGAAGACCCCTGCATGTTGACATCCCAGGTGTACTCCAGCTATGCCAGGACATCTGCTGTGATTTAACCCTGGACAGCAACTCATCCCCACACAGCGGCTTGCCCTTTCCCCACCAGTGGGATGGGGGAGAGAATCAGAAGAGTAAAAGTGAGAAGACTCGTGAATTGAGGTAAAGACTGTTTAATAGGTAAAGCAAAAGCTGCACACGCAAGAAGATCAAAACAAGGAATTTGTTCTCTTAAGTTTGATCTGCTTCCATCAACAAAGTATTATGGGTGACAGCCTTGTATGGAATAGTAATTTTTATCTAATTCTTTAATTTCACTATTTTGATTAAAAAATTGATCCTTGTTTTGGGCTGTTTCCTCAACAGACATTAAAGGACTAAAATGTCCACTCAATAAATAGGAGCCTCTGTTAGAGAGCCCTTAAAGTCTGTTAGCATCTAAAAAGTAAAAAAACCAACATGGATCGATGGTAATTCAGGCACCTTCAAATTTAAATAGCTAAAAAAGTCTAGAAAATTTCAGAGGTCTGTAGAGGCTGTGTTTGAATCTCTTATAACTCTTGTCTGTTTTTATATATAATTCTCTCTTTCTGCAGCAAAGTTTAACAAGTATCGTCACAGTCTGACTGGCATAAACAGGTATTTTCAGGCAATTTACTGCTCTTACAAGCTTTCAAAAGAGTTGCTCATCTTGGACAAAGTAAAAAAGAAAAAAGATGAGGCAGTATCTATAAGTAGCCCAAAATGTGCAGCTTGAGAAGAAAAATGGATTAATGTATGCCTTATTTCATCACAAAGAATCATAGAATCATAGGATAGTTAGGGTTGGAAAGGACGTTAAGATCATCTAGTTCCAACCCCAAGGGCAGGGACACCACGCACTAAAGAAACAGGAGCTCAGAACTTTGAGGACTTAATGCTTAAAGTAATCAACCTGCTGGCTGACTAGATCCTTGTAATAACATCTATTTTTCCAAGTCCTGGTGGTAACAGATTCTTTGAAAATATTGAATTCTATGCTGACTTGCATTGAAGGAACAGAATAAAAAAGTATTTTCTGTCACCCCAAGCCTGCCATGGGGAAAACATAAATGCATGTTTTTAGTTAACATGAAATCTGTGGTATAATTATAAGTTTATTCTGTTACCAGAACATCTGACACTGCAGGAATTCACAGCTCTGTGTGTGTTATCCGTCACATTAGAATCTTGTGCAGATAACATCATAAAGTACCACAGGCTGATTTATGTTTCCAAGGTAAACAGTGGTTTAGAGTGTATGTACCAAACTTGTGGTCATTGTCTCAGAAAAATAAATCACTTTTTGTCATTTTTATTTTGTAGGCTATTAAAAAAAGTGATGGGTAATTTGAATGAAAATATGTTGCTTTGTTATTCATTGACTTGAGCTGCATAACAATGCACTATCAAAAGGATCTGGAAGAGTCGGTTAAATTAGTAACACCAAACTTGATAGTTTCTAAAGAGTGCATATAAATAATGAATCTGAAAGAGGAATATAAAAAATTAAAAGTAACTTGAATCTTGTGAACATGTGCAGTCCTTATGCAAGCAAAACTCCCACAGAAACAAGAAGAAAGATGAGAAGACTCCAGGGCTTAGGAGATGAGATCAGCTGAAGGAAGAATGAGTGTTTTATTAAAAATTATCTAACCTGAAAAACTCTTTCTTGAATCGAAACCACAGTCTAATCCTTCCTAATAGACATCATTATTTTCTAATTCTGCTTTTTCCTCCCTTATCCTTTGAAACAAATACAAGAACAGTGATATACAAAGGAATGTGATGCCGTAAGAGCTTGTTATTAAAAAGGATCCATGCCCATGACTATCTATAATACTGGGAGGAAGGGAGAGTGCATAAAGCAAAGAGGTAGGACGGCATTAAGAACTGTTTAGTGACTTTTCTTCTGCTGCCCAGCTCCAGGAGTAGAGAAATACACAGTTTATGTACTTGAGAGACAACACAGACCCCTACTACTCACATGCTTCTAGCTACTCTTTCTGTTCTAGTACATGCTTCTACACTTAAATTACAGCCATGTTCCCCAGAACGGCTCCAGCAAATCCAGCAGAAGACAAAAGTCAGTTGAAGGAAGTAGAAAGCTTAAAGTGCTTAAGATAAACCTAGTTAGCAGAGAGTGAAGACTACAGGAACTGTGATGCTCTGCAGCTTGTGGCTGTGCTTGAAACAGGTACTACATGAACTTCTGACAACTGTGAAGTCTTCGGCTCCTCTCAAATCCCCTGCCAGTGCCATGCTCTTCCTTAGTCTCAGAGAAAACTAGTGGGTTTTTTTCTATTTATTTGTGAACTTTGGAAATTCCTGGTGGCCCCTTTTCCTGAAAGGTCCATGCCATGAGGGATCCTGTCAGCTCTGCTCTGTCCTTGTTCTCCTGTAAGCGTGGAAAATGCCATCCTCTGGAGAAACCAGGTCCAAGTCAGTCACTAGAAAGCCCTGAAATGAATGAATGAAGCACCCCACTCTCATGCGTACGTAGGACTATATTATTAGAAAGCATAGTTATAAATTCTAGTATACATGATCATTGCCTTCACATTAAAACATCCTGATCATATCTAATTGTTGCAGACTTATGCATTCACTTTCACGGACAGTTTGCTGAGACGAGCAGGAAAATGGCAGTAACTGACCTGTAACAAGTTCATGCTCATATGTCCTCACAGGAGAAACAATTCTTACTCTCATAGCCACGTATTAATTAGGCTCCTGTGCCCCTCGTTTTTCTCTTGGACCCTTTTCAGCTTGCTTTCCGTCTGTTTGCCATGAGGCTAGATGGGCGTATGCACACTGACTCTTCAGAAATCCTCCAGGTCTAATTTGCTGAAGGCAGGAGCAACTGGATGCACAGAAGAACGTGAGTAAATTTCAGTTTAAATGAAAATCACAAGCATTTTGAAAGAGGAATACTGAAATTACTCCCTTTTATTGTTTTAGGTGGTAACATAGAAATCTACATGGCCTTAAATATCAGTGGAAGAGCTATCTAGTTACTGTTTCATAAAACATGCTGTTCTTCATTAGTGCTTGAGCTTTCAGAAAACCTGTAAAGATCTTTCTGCATTTGAAAGTGCAAAATGAATTGTATAGAGTGTCATCAGCAAAATGAAACTTTCAGAGAGCCATAATGGCAGAGAACATAGTGGTATTTAAATTACTGAGCCATAAAGGATGGAACTATCAACAAGTGAATACATACCTCATGAAGAAAGCTCCCAGAACAGAGTACAGTTATTTCATCCCATTAAGGGATTCAACTTCTTTTCTGATTTTTTGAAACAGATGGTATGACAAATTGGCAATGCTCTACAGCATGAGCATAACCTAACTCATTCAAAGCCAAGCTGAAAATAACAAAATGAAACTCAGCATGGAGAAAGATTCAAGCTAACACGTGTGGGGAAAGAAATTCAAAACAAAGAGATGCAAACAGAAGAGGAAACCTGGAAAGCAACTGTTCTAAAGGAGGCCAAGAAAAAGGTGGCACACAGATGGTGTCCACTCAACAGGAAGAGGGGGTTTTGGCCATGCAAACTTGAATTATCCAAGCAGGAATATGCTTGGGATGTTGGGACTTGCACTTTCACACTTAGCTAATAACTGAGTGATTTCATGGCTTTGAATGACAGAAGCCAGTAGACCTTGAGTTTCTATGTCTTTTCTAAAATTTGCCATGCCTTCCTGACCTGCTTCATGTCAGATGCGCCATGTTTTATGGTTCAGATAACTGATAAATCTTGTTCTGAGAGTTGCAGCCCCCCAGGGAGGGTCTGAGTCCGCTCCACAGTGCCACCTTCTGAAGCACCAGAGCTGACTGCTGTGTATTTGTCCTGAAGAAATAAATATTCACCAGGTCCACCTGTGTGGAGCGAGGTCAGACAGTGTCAGAACCACCCTTCCCTGACCAAAGAGTCTGGGGAGGATCTGTGCCTTTCCTGGTTCCTTTTTGGTATTTATGGCAATACTTAAGCACTTATCATACGTGGCAATTCTGCAGAATCATGGAATCATAAAACAGTTAGGGTTGGAAAGGACCTTAAGATCGTGTAGCTCCAACCCCTCTGCCATGGGCAGGGACCCTAGACCATGTCATCTAAGCCTCTGTCCAACCTGCCCTTGAACACTGCCAGGGCTGGAGCATTTATGGCAGGGGGTTGGAACTAGATGGTCTTAAGGTCCTTTCCAACCCTAACTATTCTATGATTCTATGATTTAGAACATTCCTTTATAACTGATTATGTTTAATAATTCAACATATCCTGTTTTTACTTTCATATGGATGAAAAATGAAGTTAATTATAACTCATTCAGAGATTTGATGGCCATGAGTAATTCCTATTCATAGTTTTCAGTACTTGGGGGTTTTGTCCTTTTGTTGCTTGCTTCTGTAACACCTTCAATACTTTTCTTAATCTCTTTGTTGTGACTACTAATGCATAGATTCAAAAAATTTCCTGTGTTTAATCATCTCTTAATACTTCATGTTATGTTTAATTTTCCCTGAAAGTCTCATTTTTTTTTTCTTTTGAATTAATAGGCTTTTGCTTTACTAGCTTAAATTTAACATTGATTATTTGGAAATAAAGACCAAACTGATCCAGTTTTTCATGAAAATACATTAATTGAAATCAATTCAGGAACACTGGCAAACCCTTCAGAATGCAAAATAGTTTCCTGATAGGTTAGGAAGTAATCCTGACTCCTGTTCCACTTCCCAACTACTTTGTACACAATCAGCTCAAGTGCTTTCCTTGCTTCCTTCTATGACGTGTGTGTCATCTTATTTGATCTGTTCATAATGTTCATAATAAAAGCTGAAAAATCCAGGAGTTTTTGCAAATTCGTATTAATTTCACCAAACAGTGATGCCAGGTGCAGTACAGAAAGAGAAGCAGGCTGCCATTTCATGGAATTCTGTGCTTTGTTTCCATACAGACTGGTTAGATATCTAGCTCTGGGCACCTCTACTTTTGACCTGCAAAATTACAGATGAAAAGCTAAACAAGTAGTAGGATAGTTGTAATGGAGTTTTGTATCATGCAATTTGATGCATTTAACTTTTATTTATAGAATCATAGAACGGTTTGGGTTGGAAATGACCTTAAGATCATTCAGTTCCAACCCCGCTGCCATAGGCAGGGACACCTCACCACAGACTGTCACCCAAGGCTCTGTCCAACCTGGCCTTGAACACTGACAGGGATGGAGCATTCACAGCTTTTCTGGGCAGCCTGTTCTAGTGCCTCACCACCCTCACAGTAAAGAACTTCTTCCTTATATCTAACCTGAACTTCCCCTGTTT